TTGACTGCTAATCTCTACCTTCTTCACCACATTGCACATTGCTTGAGCATCCAGATATTTCTCTTTGCTTTTATATTCATCCGCCAGTTCACGCCTGAAGGAATCAACGGAAAGGCCTTAAAGATCACAAGACGTGACGATGTAAAAAATGAAGAATCCTTTTGAAATTGTTACTGAAGCAAACCAGGGTGTAATTTCAGGCATGCGGTAATAACACGCTGTGCTTTGCTTTTCAAGTGAGCCTATGATAACAATGAAACTGAAAAGAAAAACATATATTTCAAATGGAGCTAGCTCAGTTTGATCTTACAGTTCCAGCAGAAAACAATAAAAAAAAAAAAAAAAGTCACAACAAATAAAGAGAACATAAAGTCATACAGCTCATCTGTTGAATCTGTGTTACAGTGTTACTCTGAAGTGGCTTTATGTTTATTACCTATCAGATGCACGAAGCTAAACACAAGCAGCGCAGCGCAGACTGGCCTTTAGCAGCATTATCGCACGTCGCTCAAGCTACTCGCCGTGTTCAGTTTCAAGAATGCAGAAGAAGAAAAGCAACGGAGTCATGAGCGGGTTACGAGAATTTCTACATACAGTACATTGTAAAACAAGTAGTTAAAAAATGTAAATGTAACTGTCGCAAAAGAAAAAAAGACATCTTTAGCTCAAATTGTAACAGTGTACACAGAACAGAGTACATTAAGAACATTATACATACTTCCCATTTTCTTCTGCAGTGATCAACTCTGTTTTATTTTTGTGTCTGTTTTTTTTTTTAAGTAATACAATCTTTACTCTCTGCAGACATCAGTTTTTAATTTAGTAAAATATTAGGACTGGGGAAAGCAGCATGGCTTTTTAAATCTTAATAACTGTCACAGAGACTTAACCTAATTTTATCTCTGCCACAAAAAAACAAAAAACAAAAAACAAAAGACAAATAAGTTTGACTTAGTAGCTCAAAACTCAAAAACTTGGCATTTTGGTCACGCTTTTTAATACTGTCACACTATTCAGGATTAAGAAGGTATTAGAAAGTGCTTGATTCACCATTTATATAGTAAATATAATATATATATTATGATATGATCATTAGTATAATTATGCTTATTACCAGCAGTGATATCTGTGCATGGTGTTAACACATCTGTATTTATAAATGACATAATAAGGAGGAGTAAAAATATATAAATGATGATTTAAGCACTTGCTAGTAGCGTACTAAAGAGCCAGGATTGTGCCTGTTTCATTGATATTTCTTTAAAAGATTTCATAGTTTTAGGAGGAACTGTGACTTTCCTTGTAATCTTACACTTTTAAGTCACCTTGTGTTTCCAGTGTCAGATTCTACCTTTTTACTGGAATGTGTGAGAAACCCTACAGCCTCCAGCTACTACTCTTTACAAGTGCCCTCTCTGAAAACAAGACAACGGGTCAAGCTACGCCTCTGTTTAGCTGACAGGTAAATGTCAGTAAGGTCATCAGTGATATATTATTGAGTTACATGGTTTAGAAGGGTGTGTCTTTCTAAAGGTGTCTGACATCTGGTACTTTAGCTCTCAGATTCCCTCTTTTCCGAGCCTGTCTGGTTATTACAGGGTTTGAGTTATAAAAAACTGAAGAATAAAAAGATCACATCCTTCGTCACCAGACATGATAATGCTTCACCAGATATTATACTGGGGATTCTGGGATGTGTGGTCTTTGGAGCAGTAGGTACCTGAGTTGCCTGATTGCAAGGCAAAGTAAAAGAACTTTAGCTTAGTTTGTCTTAGTTTTTGGTGCCATGAATCTTGAGATACATGGTCGTTCTATTAAAAGGCTACAGAGGGTGGAGAGCAAGGTTCTGTATCGATCCCCAGAGGAAACTAAGGTGTAAAAACAGAGGACTAGAGCTCACTTTATGGCAAGTAGAGGGGATGCGATGGCCTGCGACGCAGCTGCATAGAAAGACCAACTGTAGTTTGGACAATAATACAGGTTTTAATAGGGTTTTAAGATCTGCAGTGTCTTTAAATGTGCCTGCGGTGATGGTGGTGATGGTGGTTGTGCATGTCTTCCATTGAGATTCTGCCCCACACGCCGATCACAAATGTTTCAATCTCACACTCGTTTTCCCCACGAGCGATCCGGAAGTAGCCGTTTTCACCCCAGTTCTTTCCCCAGGAGTTGGCAGCAATCTGGGGAAA